TTTGAGGATATGAGTGATCACCAAGAGATTATCTTGGAATTTTTGGAAAAACAGAGTGCTCTGAACTGCCAGAGGATTGGGTCTTGAGCCGTTTAACATGATGTTGGAAATTCAGGGGGACTAGCTTGAGTTTGAGGCATTTAAGTTGCATGTGTTTTTAAAAGCCTTGTTGTTTTTCTCCTCTGCAATGGAAAAATCTCCATTTTAATGACTTTTAATATTAAGCATTACTTTGAAAACAAAATATATTTTGCATTTAAATAACTTATAAGTAAAGTAACATTAGAACAAACTAGATTTAGAAGTGCTGTTAGGATGTGTGTTGCTATGTTACATAGTTCCTAAAATTTTGGTTACCTTAAAAAAAATCCTTCAGTAATGCGGAAATAGAAAATAATGCTCAAATGCAGTTGCATATATCATATTTATTGGCAAAATAATTTTTTTGTTAAAAAATTGTTTAGTAAACACTTTATTATTTTTTTCTGACCTAGCAAGTGCTCACCCACTGTTTAGAACACTTCTTTACCTTCCTTAAACAAATACATGAACATAATTTAGCATTTACTACTTCAAGCCATCACCATGCTTTCCTTATCACACAGTTCTGCAAAGCATTTGTTCTTTATGAAGTGGACTCTGGGCTATTAAATTTTTGGAGTGCTCAAGTTTGCTTTCTCCAATTCCTGTTTCTTCCACTTACTGTCAACTGTCATCTCTCATTGCTGTTCTTATACAAACTATAGAAAGAATAGTAACTTTCCAGCCTATAATTTGTTGGCTTGAATATTTCAAAGGCTATGACTCTAAAGAACTGCATCTAATAGGACTGGAAAACAGTAAGAGAAACCGTGGTTGTGAACAGCCCAAGGAGCCTACAGTCCAGCTTGAAAAATTGTTTGCCTTTCTGATTTCACACATTCCTATGAAGACAGGCATTTATTAAGTTAAACTTTTTTTTTTTTTTTTTTTCAATTTTTTTTTTTTTTTTTTAGCTACAATTCTAGTAAAATAGCATTCAAGAAAGTTGCAAGCTTATTAGATTATATTTAATATTTTTCAGGGTTTTTTTCCTTCTAACTTCACCTCATTTTCAGAGGAACGTGGGGAAAAAGCATATGACTTTAGAAACATGTTGTTAGTTGCAATCAAGTCAATTCTAACTCATGGTAAACCCATGAGTCAGAGTTGAACTGCTCCATAGGGTTTTCAAGGCAGCAACCTTTGGGAAACAAATTGTCAGGCCTATCTTCTGAGGCATCTCTGGGTGGATTTGAACTGCCAGCGTTTCAGTGAGTGCTCAATAGCTTAACTATTTGTGCCACCCAGGGCCTTCTTTTAGAAGGATAGGTGATCAGTGCTATCTAAATGAGTGTGATGATTAATAGCCAAAGAAAACTAACAAGAGAAATAAAAGTGATTCAAACAATAATGAACCTCCAGCTCATATATCACATTTCACTTGACAAAAAATCTACTTTTATCTCTAATATGCTTTTACATATGTATATGTGTGTGTGTGTGTGTGTGTATACATATGTGTATACATATATATATATATATATATA